AGTGACGAAACCACTACGCCACAGCCACACACTCCACCTTACTCATTATAATTGGCTCTTCGCAATCATGTGACCTCCTGCTCTGGTTCTGGTTCTCTGGTTGCTTAAGGGCTTAATCTTGGGTGCACTGTTAGGCTTCTCCGATTGACTCTTTCCTTGATTTCTAATTTATGTGAATGTGCCTGTCCAATGCAGCCGGTTTGCAGTTTCCACAGACATAAAGAAGCGGCTGTAATGAAGCAGGCTCTTGTCAAAGCTGTGCAAAAGCGAAAACTAAACGAGGAGAGGCGTAATCGGAAGGTACGCAGGACAAAATGACAATAGGAGAAAAGCAGAAATCGTCACCGCGGGCACAGAAAAGAAGCTAATGCAGCTGTAGAGCAATGTTTAGCCCCGTAATATCATCGATTTACTCAACACGAGAACTGGGAGCGAAAGCAGCCATGCCGGTGCGCCAATGCTTCATGGAAGGACACCACACAAGGCCGATCCGCCCGCAGAGAGGGGAGCTTTCCATGGGTGAGCATCCGGTAGTAAGAAAGGCATCAGGGGAGAGCCATGGTAAGCAGAGAGCTTTACTGTAGGAAGGAAGTGATAGTTATGGTGGGATTTCAGTGATGAATAAGTGACACTTGTCAAAATTGGTAGCTGCTCGCAATGTGCGAATCGCTGCATGAATGGGTAATTGGGAGAAAATGTACCCAACATGTCTTATTTGCTCTGCATGTGGTTGAAACATATGGGTCTATACAAGTTATTGGATTACATAATCATTTACAATACACAAAGAGGCTGTTATCTAAGACCTTCGGAGCTTCTACGCTCAGTGCTCTAGCGCAATACTGGCTGGTGCATCTTGTCGGCGGAGCGTAGACAGGCAATGATCAGTTTTGGCACATCGTTGTCGAGTATATTAAAGAAAATCTAGCAGCATTAATCACCAGTGGCTTTATGTCCACTGGCCCAGAGCAGTGGCGAACCAGGCACTTAAACTTGGACAATGCGGATCAAAGCAGGCGGACGGAAAACTTGTGTACAGTCGACTTAAAACACTTGACGTTCACTGTGTCCTTACTGCTTTACACTCTTCCTGTGTTGATGTTAGCGGCGTCTGGCAGTCGCTTGTTGGTGTCCCCTCTTCCAGCCCCTAAAAAGAAAAAACAGAAAATGATGGGAAAGGATTATGCTTTTGGAGAGTGTTTGGGTTTAAACACACGAGCTGGGGGTTTCTCAATGTTTGATATAGCCAAAGCAGTTTCCTAGGCTGCGTTTGCTGCTGGTTCTCCAATGCACCGCGCATAGCACACTCCTCCATTCCATCGTACGTGCCCGTTGCGATTCAGATAATGGCCTCTTGCTTTGCACACTCACACGGAGAGGGAGAGAGGGAAGGAGACAGAGGGAGAGGCTGCACAGCGAGGGGAGGAGAGAAAGACATAGGAGCGTGGGGGGTGGACTCAAAAAAAAAAAAAAAAAGACGCCAAATGCATGTGTTAACAGCCAGGAGAAAGAAAGAGGATATTGAACGCAAAGGAAGGGAGGAGCAGACAGAAGCAAGGGAAAAGACATTTGAAGAAAAAGCTAAAAGAATGAAACGCGTGTGCGGTGTAGCAAGGGGGAGGTGTGGAGGTTTGGCTGGCTGCGACTGCACGGATCTCTAAGCTGGATCTGATGTGTAAACCGCACTAGAAAGGACGCGCAGCTATTCAAGAGGACTGCCACTATTCTAAGGATTTCCATTACCGGCAAGCTTTTCACATGAACTGCACTGTTTTCTACTCTCCCAGGACGGTTAGGATCACGTAAGTATATGATGTCTAGGCAGAGAGCTTTAGACCGGCTTTATATTGTGTCACAAGCCGCAAAGGGAGACATGGAGAGGGGGGGGGGGGGGGGGGGGGGGGGGTGAAGGAGGCAAAAGCAGCCGGACAGGGTCTGTTGTGTGTTTGGGATTTAGGTTCAGCTGTCTACACTCGAGATGGATTTAACCCAATCTTTGCCAACTTCCAGTTCTCACAGTTTGTCCTCTGATAGTGCCATAGCTCATTATCTCACAGCGGTTTAAAGGGAAGCAGGTCTGCCAGGTTCAGCAAGATTAAAAAGGCCGGGTTTAGCGGCTATATTCACAAAGAATATGTTTGACATTGAAACTGTTTTTTGGAGTACTTGAATTATTTGCTAATGTCATAGACTTTAAAATTTGTTGCTTTTTATACATAGGATGAGGCAATTTGGCATAGCATCACACTGTATTAATGCAAAAAACAACTATTTTTTGATGGTTGACATTTGTTCAAAATATGTCCATTGATGAATAGGCATACAGCCTATTCATCAATGGACATATTTTGAACAAATGTGTACATTTATATATATGCTGCAGTGTCAAAGAATAGTTATCCTCACCCGGACAAGGTTAGCTTAGATTTCCCGCTATTTGTGAAGGTGCGCAAACTCACAGTCGTGTTTTGGTTTTGGCGCTTTAAACCCATGTGACCACGCTGCCGGTGTTCTTTATCATATAAAGAAATACAAATAGAATAGAGGAAGCAAACATGACACAGTGACAAATACGGAGTGATTGTGCGATGATGCCATGTTGCAGTGTCTTCTGTTTCAACACTGCAGTTCTCATAAGCACCCACCCCCCACCTTCCTCTGATGCCACTGATGCAGGCATACATGGGGATCCTCACGTATTGCATGCCGGCTGTTGGACCACTACTAGCACCCCTCCAATTCATCCCCCCTTTGATTGATTTTTCAGTATATATATTCCAGTCCTCCATTAGGGCTTGAAGCAGACACTATTGGACTACTATTCAGGAATGGCATTGTAAATGAAATTCAGAAACAGGTTCCTTCTCTTTATAAGCATGAATCAAACATTTAACACTGCAACTATATGCTGTCTGTGATGTTTTCCCTTCTTCCCTTTTAAAGTAAATGCTTAACCAATGCAGACATGCACTTCCACAAATACATGCACACCGCACAGGAGGTGTATTCAAAAGATGGCTGTAATTAGCTTGGTTCAAAGGCTCATTTCAATAATATTCAAATGATGGGGAAGCAGGCTGACTCCTACTGCACCAGGCAAACGTTTGAAATTCAGAAATACAGTCTAACAGTAATTGACAGCATTGGACAATGTTGCTCTCAGTCTTTTGTAAACTTAAAATTATTACTAGAGAGCACCATTGTGTTCCTTTTTTAGTCTGTTGTTTGAAAAGTACTGACTCTTTATTGGTGCAACCTGAACTCTGTCAATAATTTCTGTCCATGTCCTTGGTATATCTTCTTCATTCCCTGTGGACTTAATGATTTGTGGTGAGCACATACACATTGCCTGAATCCAATTAAAACAGTTAAGAAATGTTTTCCTAAATTCTTTCTCATAGGTTCAGAATTGTGTGTTTACAAAGAAGTCTGCATTTGTCTGAAACTGACCTAGTTTTGACAGAGATCCTCAACATAAAGGGTTGTAGGGTTATGCTTTTAAAAGTCTGTTCTCTATTACCTGTCCTATTTTTAAACTCACAAAGACAAGACCAAAGGTTAAAGGGAAACATGGCTCTGATGATCCGACTATGAATATAAGTCACAATAATATGCCTATTTTCTTAAGTTACAAGCTCTTATCTCTGTACTTCCTCCCACATTAGGTAAATCAGATGGTCTGAGTTGTGAAAAGATTGTTTGAAGTCAAGCATGTGGATATGTTAGTGACTTTTTGCATAATACTTCCTAAAAGCATTTCTAGACTTGTATGATTGTAGAACATGTATCTGGCAGTTGTATCGTGGTTTTGTATTTCACAATCACCTGAGTGACCTGTGGAACTACACCTCCCTGTTTGGCAGAGCACAACTGATCTGCAGCATTGGTTCATTTATAAACAGTCAAATGATGTCATGTGACCACTGGTTGACCTGACTAAACCCTGATGTTGTGAAATAACTCAACTGTAGCACTGGCTAATTAACTTTTTTGCTTATATATTGACCCAGCCCTCTACCACTATGTGTACTGAGAAGCCAGCGTACGCATACTCAATAAATGTTTTACAGTTCTTAGTTATATTTGAAAGACAACAACATCAGAATATATTTGTTTATTGTTGGTATATTTGACACAGATTATGAACCAATTGCATTACAATTACAAAAATAAACCATTGACATTATAAATCAATTCTTAGATACACTATATTTATAATATACAGTAGTTAATTGATATGTACACGCTTTTATTAAATTAAATTTCAGAGCCAGATACACTCGTATGAACCATAAATTATACGTATTCAATTCTGCTTCTTAAGCGGTTTATTTTAAATACATAGATCTTTTTAATGGCATGTAGGGCTGGGTTATACATCAAATTTAGGCAATTAATTGGCTTCGAACTTGTGAATAATGTGAAAACCGTGAAATCGAATGAAGGATATTGTGAGAGTTCCAGCAGCACATGAATTATCCTTGCAATACCAGCACAGTCTGTACAAGACTTTTATAATACGTATTAGGGGAAACAAGTAAAATAAAATTGTTTTGAAACTTGAATATTGTTTGGAAAGATCAAAATATATTTTTAAGAGCAAAGTCTGTCTTTGGTGATTTTAATGAAAATCGATTTAAAATCGAAATTGTCCAAAGCAGGAAATAAAATCGAGATTTTACTTTTTTGCCATATCGCTCAGCCATACTGGCACAGTGGCTGAGTGGATAGCACTCTCTCTTCTCTGCAAACAATATTCCGAACAGGGCCTGCGTAGGTTTCCTCCGGGTGCTCCTGTTTCCCCTACCATTAAAAATGTGTACAACAGACAAAAATCAACTAGCTCTCGTACTAAACAACCAGAAATGGAGATGTGTCCCCAGGTGCTGCACTTTGGCGACAACCGTTCCTGACAGAGGCCCTAGTGGCATTACAGGATGCTGCCATTATGTTTTCTGTCTTTTCCTTTTCCTAACTTCATATTTGTTGTTTCTTTACAGACTGTTTGCAGAGTCACATCAGTGGATGGCCCCAGAAGCGGAGGCCAGATGGAAATTGGGTCACATGACCGCCTCCAAGAAGGCGCATCAAACCTGAATTTGGCCAATGGGGTGAGCCGATATGCTAATGGTGATGAGGCGCCCATGGAAGAGGAACAGCATAGACAAGGCTGGGTGCCAGGGCAGCCCAAGGTCAGTGACTCCCAACAACACCACAACTGGACCAGTCGACCCAACACCACCCGGGAATCCATCCAACACGTGGACATAGAAGATGCACGCAATCTGGTGGCATTCTCTACTACTGTATCACGACCTGCCTCCACCTCTTCCTCCGCCCATGTGCAACAGAACACCAGTCGACTGTATGAGAAATTCACCCAAGAAATGGGCGAGGGGGAACAGGTGGGACAGCCTGATGGGCTTGCAAAGGGAAGCTGCCAAGGCCCAGACGACCTGGACACTCTACAAACTGCACTGAGCCAAGCCAAACATGGACACAAGCCCCCAAATTGTAATTGCGATGGGCCTGACTGTCCTGACTACCTAGAATGGCTGGAGAAAAAAATCAAGTTGGCAACAGATGATGATAAGGCTCCATGCAGCAAGTCTATTACACACACTCAGCAGACAAATGGCAACGGCGGACCCTCTACATTCCCACAACAACAGCAGGGTCATAATCCACAGCAAGCCCCTGGTTCCAAACCGCCTATTCCCTGCTCACCACAGGTCCTGTCCATAGCCAAGGAGAGGAATGTAAGTTTACAGACAGCCATCGCAATTGAAGCCCTCACACAGCTATCTGGCACTGGTTCTCAGGCTTCCGGCTCTCTGGGCCACTACAACAATAACCTCCACCAAACTAACCTCCAAAATCACCCCACAAACGGCATAGGGCACTCCTTCTCCCGCTCTCAATCCGTCCCGCCTGGACTTCACACTGGTCAGCCAGCTCAAGATCAGCGGCCGCAGTCCCAAGGTCCGCCTCCCCATGCTTCCCCACTTCAGTCCTCTACCTCGCCTTTCCCGGGTCAGGGATTCAACCCCCATCCTCAGCACCCCCAGCACTGGCAGCAGGGTGCAGGCCAGGGGGAACAGAGGAACATGTGGATGGGTGCGAAGTCTGAAGCTCATTTTGCACCTCACGGCAACCAAGACCCCATGTCGGAGCTTAAACAACTGCTTGGGGACCATACTGGCAAGTTTGACAATGCACCCTTTAGACTCCCAGTTCAGCAAAATATGCATCCCCAAGCAAACATAGCGTTGGACAAGATCAAGAAAGAGCAAGATTCAAGTGAGCACTACCCTATGGATCCTTATGGCATGGCGAATGGTCATCAGCACTACCCCGGGATGCCTATGTCTCCAAACCAAGCAGCCATTCGCCACTCCACTCAGGCAGCTCTTCAACAGCATCTTCACTACAAACGAAACCTCTTCTCCAACCACTCTCCAGGGTTTGCCGGGCCACGTGAACCAAACGCATGCCAAAACTTGAAGAAATGGTGGCCACAGGTTGGTCCGCAGGCCATGACGCAAATGGCAATTAAACAAGAACCTAAGGAACCCAAAAGGAGGAAAAGCATGCAAGGACCTCCCATTATAAATGCAATGGGAGGAATTTTAACACCACCACCTCCAAAGCCCAAACAAATAGTTATCAAGAAAACAAAGCAGAAAGCATCTGTGCCACTTTTTATGCCCCAAAATCAAATTTCAGCGCAAAAGCCGCCAGTTTTCCGTCCCGTTCAAAGCGGATTTCACACAAGTACCCTTCCCACACTCCCTCTTCCTAGTGGTCTCTTTCCACCTCTGGCACCAGGGCAAACTCAGGTACCCCATTCTTTAGCAACTCAAACTTCCACAAATTCTGAAAACTCAACTGATTTGACGACAAAAAGTGCTGCCCAGTCAAACACCAGCACCTCTTCCACACTCACCACTCATTCATCGTCACTGTCAAATCTAATTAATATTGACCCCAAGTATGAAGACCTTATCCGTCAATTTGAAGCTGAATTTGGGGGACCGGAAGAACAATTGCTTGCAAATTCGCAAGCAATTCAGTCCAAAAATAGTAACGAGAGCCAAGGACCACCGTCAACAAACCCATCAAATTCTTCAACGCAAGATCAGAACATGGATACAAAAGAGGCCAGAGTCCAGAGTAAAGAAAGCCGTGAAACGCCAATGGAGGAGCACCGTAAGGGGACTGGGTGCAATCAGTCTTTGCATCAGGAAGTTGAAAGGCAGCAGCAGCCAGTTGCTGGTGAGGATAAGTTCTGCATGCCCTCTTCCCCTTTTCCTAAACGCATGAAGTTTGAAACGTCAGGGGATATATCGGTGCTCTCCACAACATGCTACTCAGAAGACGACACCCCGACCAAGGATTTCCCAGCGTCTCCATCACTCAAAGGATTTCTCGAGTCCCCGCTGCGCTATCTGGACACCCCCACAAAAAATCTGCTCGACACCCCCTCCAAGGACCTACAAGCGGAGTTCCCAATCTGCAACTGTGTGGGTAAGTAGCGTTTATGTGCTTGTAAGATGCAGCATAGTGTAATTATATTAGACTAAATCTATTCAACACACAATACAGTGTGATCCACTCCTCAATGAGCTTCTAAGAAAATGTGTGCATTTCTGTTTTTATACTTTGTTGGTACAAGGGCTTTGTTTAAATCCTGTTTGACTGTAGGTTTGGCAATTCAGAACAATGCTTTTGTTAAGCCTTTTATACATTATACTTCTAAAAAAATCTCCTGTAGTTTATATCTAGTATCCATATCTATATCTATATCTATATAAAACATAGCCTTACAAAAAAAAAAAAACATTCTTCTTGCAACAATTTCTTATACGCTTTCATCTACACCCAGTTTACGCAGATTAATATTTGGTACTATCTTTGTACTTTGTACTCAAAACCGACTCTCTCAGAAGACAACGATACTGAAGTAAGATTTGTACATAAGTCTTGAGTCTATTACACGCAACACCTGTGCAACACCCATCAAACAGAACTCTACAGCCAACAGTAACCATAGAAGATAATTGCGCTTCTCTTTATACGCACTCACTATTAAGCTATCAGCCCCCCCTGGGTTGTGCTGTTTTGAGGGGTTCTGTGTGTGCGATGTACCCATCCAGGCTGCCACAGTGAGAGCAGAGTGAACAGCAGGACAGAACAAAAGCAGAGGTGGCAGAAGGAGGGCTTTGTGTGGCAGCTCGCGTTGGCAGGGGAGAACGGAGCTTTTGTCAGGTTAAAAAGGGGAAAGCTTGGGTACCCCACATTGGTTATGAATTTGGAGCGAGCGCAAGTGTTTGGAAATGATTTGTTAATAAAAAATGAATTATCAAGGAATAGAATTGAACTTGTGGATAATTTATTTATATTCATCACATGAGGTGACCTTCGCTGCAATTCACCCATGTTTGATGTGAGTATATCAAGAAGCGTTTCTGCGAAAAATTATTAAATACAAGGTAATAAATGCTTGAATCAAGTATTTTTTTTATCTCAATTTGGGTATATTCTGTCTGTCTTAAAACAAGATTTGCCAATGGAACAAAGCCGTTAAGTCTCATATCAAGACCTGTTGCTCTATTTTATCATTCCAAAATAGACATTTATTTTGCTTATCCCATTGGAAAATCTTCTTTTAAGGCAGTCAAAAAATTTCTCAAATTAAGATATACATTTTGCCAAATTTGAGCAATGTTTCACTTAGCTTTTATCATTTGTTGCAATATCGGAAGCCAAGCCACTATATAGAGAGCTTAAAACCACAACCACTAACTTTGTAATACAATCCATGTAACTGTCCCTTGTTCTCAAAACTGTTTGGTTCTATATTTAGTTCACGTGCATGTATTTTTGGTCTCTATCACACCTTTACATCAGATTTTTCAGTGAAAAGTTTTGTACCCCATCTTTCAAGTCAAATCTGGCACTGGTTCTCAGGCCTCCAGCTCTCGAGGCCACTACAACAATAACCTCCATCAAACTAACCTCCAAAATCACCCCTCAAATGGCATTTCCACCATTAAAGTCATAAAAGTTCAGTTATCGGTGCTCTCCATAACATGCTACTCAGAAGACGACACCCCGACCAAGGTTTTAAGATGTAGATATTTAACCTACGAACATAATTTTTTTAAACCAGGCACTTGTCTGTCAAGATGAGGATGTGAAAATGTGTTGCACAGGTTGCAACTGACTACCTTATTTATAGCAGTATAGGTCTATTAATGGAACGTAAACCGGGCGTGTGTGCAGTATTTCCGTCAATAAATATGCAGTCATTTGGGCTTTAATGATGTTGTTTTGAGAATATAAGCGTCTGCCTTACTTGTGGTCTTTACTAAGTATATAATTGTATATAAACTCAGTGCAATGAAGTTAATGGGGTTTTTTAATGACTAGTGTACTGTGTAGACCAGACGTTTGTTGCTCAGAATCTGTTTCACAGTTGGAGCGGAGCAGCTGCAGTAAACGCAGTAGACATTAGTTCATAGAAAGTTCCCTGCTCGCCTCATTCGCTCAACAGTACAACTGACTTCAATACTGTGGGTAAAGCACCGCCACAAAAGGATTTATATGATCAGCTAAACTAGAGTGTACCAGGAATATTGCAAAACAGAACTAAAACAGCAGTGATGCCTTTGAACTGAGAGTAATAGAAATCAATTGTAAAAACAATAAAACTGGTGATTATATTTAGTCTAAACCGGTTTGTGGCTTTACTGCACTTAAGTATTACCAGAAGCAGGCAGCAGGGCCTGTCATCCTTTCTACAGTATATCGACTAATCGTTCAATGAATGACAGGATGATCAGTTAATATTTATCTATTTTTTAACTCTATCTCTTGTTACTTGTTACACTAACAGCTACCTCTATGTTGTGCAATAAAATTTGAGCTGAATAAAGTTGCTCTTTTTAATTATTGACTTGCAAATAGAAAGTGCCCAATGCATTCTGTTACATGTATGGATGTATTGCTGCTTATGTTTTGTTTATCTTCAAAGTAGCTGTGGTCTTCAATATTAGCATTTATAGTGATAGTAGAAACAATCTGAAAAACTATCAAAAATATATGTTAAGATAGTGTACAAACTCTGGTCTCTGGACCAGAGCTTGAGAAGCACTGTTTGTAAACAGCTGTTATTGGAGAAAACTAGATGTCGCAGAAGAATGTTTTGACTCCTCCACTTCCTGATGTTAACCGCTCCCTTTAACTGCACAGGAATGTGACCTCATGAATCCTCAAATAACACGCCTCATGCTTACTATGTTTGTTGACACAAGACTGCACTGCTTCTCAAACTGTGAGACTTGGGATACTACTACTTAAAGGCAATGTGTGCAGTTTGTGCTCTCACTGGTTGAATAAAGTCTTTACAATCACAATCCAAACCTTTGTTTCTGCAGCTCCTCCAGCTCCTCTGATGGAGTCCAGCTGCTGGGGGTTAGGTAGACCCGAAACCAGTTGGATTTCACTGCAGCAACCCAAATGAGAGACTCATGTGGAAATAGATCAGAATCAGTCAAAATATGATTTGTAATGGGGTTTTTTTCTGGGGACACAGATAAAATATGTAATTTAAAATAATTCCTACGTACTGTATCTTTAAGCTTGTGTATTTATATTTTTTGTAATAATCAGAACACATGGCATACTGTCACAGTTATGGATAGAACATGCACATAGCCAGAATCACATTTACAAGCTTTACAAGATTGTTTACAGATTTTTTTAGATATTTCTTTCTGGCTGTTAATGTCAATGTCAATGCAGTACTTCTATTGGATCTTATGTGAGGAAGTCTTTTAGTTACAATGTTAGGAGAACAATCCTTTTTGTCTTTCCTGTTTTTAGTTATTAAAGTCATTAAAGCCAATAATCAGTCTTGCTGTTGCTTACAGTTTACAGTCAAGCCTCTTACACTTTACTTTGTTTTCGTTTTTCAGCTACTCTTATGGGCTAAATTGAGCCTATTATGACGGCACGCTAATATTGTACAGTATCAACACAGCTGACCATAGAGACACGCCCGACTTCCCCATAGACCCACACTACATCCTGAGTCATTAGCAGCTAAAGGCTTCAGTCTCCTCTGGCACCACACCCAGCACTTATGCCCACGTGTGTCTGTGCATGTGGGAACTCTCACATGTTTGTGTGTTTCTGTGGGAATGTGCGGCGACTCCAGCCTCATGCAAGCCCTTCCCATGGACTCTCAGTGTTGTAATGTAGTGCAGGGGAGTTCAAAGTGCGGGACAGCCATTTTTGTTGGTCTGAGAATTGGTGTTATGAATGTTCAAGAATATACACTACTCGAACATCCATGAATCACTGAGTTGGTTAAAAAGGAGCTGTTTAAAGTTGAGTTTGCATTATTTTGGGAATGCAATGGTCTTCTGGTGGAAAACGTCACTATTTTTTATTGTTATTCATAGAGTAAAGTGCTTGATTTCTTAACTCTTGTTTGAGAATCATTTCATACATTTCTTATCATCATAGGAACATTTTAGATTTTTAGTTTTGTACTGAATTCACATTTTCTCGCATTGCAGTTTTAATGCAATGTGATTACGGATGCATTCACACGTTGACGATAGTTTCACTCTACTATAGCAACAACACATGGTGAATTTGGGGGCCTCCAGATTTCAGCTGCATCAAAACCAGGACCAAGCTGAGACTAAACCTTGAACTAAGGGGCCATATCAGAAGTAAATGCAATAGTCCTCATAACGACAGTCAGATCTGATTCAAAAGTATTGAACAGACTTTTGTGACTAGTAGTGCAGACAGTTACACTTTTGTCTTATTGAAAAAAGTCTTCAATTTAAAAGAAGAAATAATTAACTCTTTGCATTAAAACAGTTCGCACTTGTTTGCTGCTTTCACATTGCAACAAATGATTCAGTCCCAAATGTAAAAAGTGTAATCACACCCAAAATCTAGACTAGACAGATTCAAACCAATTCTGTATTAGGATTTGACATAAAATTATTGTACAAAAAATGAAAGGAAATTAAAATAAAAATGACAAATATGAGAGTCTACCGTCTGACACAGTCCTTGTTTGTTTCTCACAGTAAATCAATGGCTCTCTTTTGATCTTAGTCCTTATAAATATCTGTAAAATTACACAATTGTTATCTGCTTAAATATAATATGTATTATATATTATAAATATTAGTAATCTTGCAGCTACAAAAATATAATGTCACTTAACTATTTCTTATCTTTGAAGTGGGATATTGCCTAAAAAATGATAACAATAATTAAGAAAAGACCAACAATAAATGGACAATTCTCTTCACTGTATGGTTGGTTTTATGTCAGTATGTAGAATGAGTTCATACAATGTTACTCAAAAGCATTTTTTTTCCTTAATGTTTGTATATGTTCACTACACCTGCACATAATAACATTGTGAAATCTTTTCTGTGTATAGAACAAATCCTGGAGAAAGACGAGGGTCCGTACTACAACCACCTCGGAGCAGGTCCCACTGTGGCCTCTATTCGGACCCTGATGGAGACCAGGTAAGACTCAAACCAATGATCCATGAATTACTTGGTTTATATTTACCAAACGTTGTTAAGTGAGTGATGCTGCGTCTTCCTTTAATTCACTTTCAGTCTTCAGTCAAATGTTAAATCTGGATGGTGAGAATGCGCTGAATCTTGTACAGTAATATATGTTGCAGTAAGTTATTTTTCAAAGTCCTACTTCTGTCTCTGTCCTGAGGGAGAATTGTGACCCACATATGAGCACAAAGAGCAGAAACTACAACGTCAGCTTCTGCACATCACAATGTACTGGAGACAGACTGGAGGTGTGGCAACGGAGAGGGAGAAAATCTGTGTTTGAATAAATGTGTTAATGATGAGTGATGTCACCAGATGTGCCCATAAATATTAATATTTTTTAGCAAATAATTTAAAAGTAGTGACAGGAAGATCAGTTCAAATCAAACTGATATATATTCAAATTAACATAGAGATTGTAAAGGACCAATTATTGTACAAAAAATATTTATATGACTTTAGAATTTCAGTTGCAATTTAGAAAAGCAAATTTAATTCATCAAAGTCTGATCAATCTGAACTATACATGTTTATATTGAAATAGTGTTGTATGTCCCAATCAGATCCCTATATGTTCACTCATAACTCATAAGTGGAAGTAAACGGTTCCTACTTCCTGCTGTGTAACAACTGTCCTTGTGCAGTAGTCAGATGTTTTCCTCACGCATTATTACATTCATTCTACACAGGCTTTTCACAAAACACAGAAACATTTCAGGTCTTTTCTTGATGATTTGGGCAGTATGGGAGTGTTTGTTTGAAATAGTTGAGTTAAGCACTGTTAATATGTTTTTAGCCATATTTGAGAAGCTATAAGTTGTAAAACTCTGCTTCACTTCACAATCTTACACCAACTCCTAATTTTTGCTGTTGTCCCAAACAAATCCATAAAATCTAAATAAAACTTTGTTTCTGATATAACTTGTCAACTAACAACACATGATCAGTTTAGAATTGTTGCTACTTTTGCAGATTTTTGCTTGAATCCCTCATGATATTTTGGCCTGGAATGTATCTACATTGATGTTTTACAAATAGTTTACAAGCGGTATCTGCGGAAAGGAGCGCCGATTAGGGATGTAAATCGGCGACCGTTTAACCGGTGGTTGACCGTCACAGCGTTAACCGGTCAAAGCTGTCGGTTAAAAAAAAGAGAAAAAGGGGAGAGGGGAGGTCTCTTAGGGTGTATTCAGACCTGAAAAGTCCTTTGCTCCGCTTTCTTGATCCGAATCAAAAGCAGACCAAACTTTTTTCTTTTGCTCCGGTTCGTATTCAGACTGTCCTTTTTGCAAGTGAACTTTTTTATATAAACATATTGACACGTGTGACGATCAGCGCTCCTATTGGACAGAGAGAGCTCACGGAGGATAGACGCGGAACCGGCAGAAAACATTGAGGGCTCGTATGTGCAGCATGTCTGCTCTGCCTCTGTTTGCTCTTTTTAGAGCAAAACCACCTTCAACATCAACAGCAGCAGCTCATATGACACAGGCCAAACACGTTGTTTTAAATATTGGAACAGCGTCGGAGAATGCGTGAGGAGAAAGCCGAAGGAGACTGTCTGCGCGCTCCGTGCCCTGTCCCACACATGGATCTATTATAATAATGGCCCTGTTCAGCATTGTGGCTAAACCATGGATCTATAATAACCACGGGACAAACAGACGCTGAGGATCAGGTAGGAACCAAAGAACACAATTCACTACATGATGCGGGATATTTCTTTTTGAGACGTGAGTCAAACAGTGTCAGGTTTTTAATAATGCAAAGTATTTGAAGATGCTGCCATTAACATCACTGTATACTGTGAACAGTTGTAACTCCATAAGCCTGTTGCACAGCGTCTCCTCACTGCTCCAGGTCTGCCCACGGCTTAGTGTTGTTGTGTAGCGTTAGCAGCATAGTTAGCCGCTGCGTGGCTAATTCCTCAGTTTCTGTCTGCGGCTTGTTAAGCCCAAAAAATGCGCACGTATCTTGGAGTTGTGTCGGATCGACACCGGATGTATTCAAACCTGATTCGGTTTGGACCAGAATTCGTTTGGAAGCGGACCGAGACCACCTAAAAAAGTGGGTCTCGGTTCGGTTCTTTGGTCCGGACCTGGATTCGTTTGTGTGTATTCAGACCTGCATAAAAGCTTCGGATCAGAGTTCCAAACGAATCCTGGTCCGTTTAAAGTGGAGCAAATGTGCAGGTCTGAATACACCCTCAATAACGCTATTTTAAGCCCTATTTGCACGGTGTGACGAGCGGGTCCCTATCTAGCTGTGTGCGCCCATGTATTATAAACTCCGGGACGACTCTCACGCCGCACGAGCCACATACGCGCGCACGCGCACACACACACACACTTTCCCCCTCTCCATACGTAACATCCACACGCATCATCTCTCCCTTCTGTTACCGTCAAAGTTTCACACTGGCGCGGGTCAGAACTACATTGGAGCTTACATTTACACACACACACATATACATACACACACACACATACCGGTCTGTCGCGCTCCTCTGTGTCACGGAGCCCAAAGGATTCGCGCAAATACGCGGCTTCAGTCAAACCACATGGAACATGTTTGTGTTTATGGTCCTCGGGATCAGCTCCACACACATCACTTGTATTTAAACTTTTGTGAAGACCTGTGAGACGCGGCTCGTCACTCGCTGCTCTGACCATGTGAACGAGCCGTTGTTTGCTGCTAGAAAGTTTTGGAATTAACCCGCAGCACAGCAGAATGGGAGGATTAAAAAAGCAGTTCTCTGTGCGCAAAGGTGCCGGAGCTGTTGCGGGTTTGGGCGCCGCTGTCTCAACTCTGATCCAGTAGAACGCTCAGCTGCACTTATGAAAAGTACGCGGCTCGAAATGGCTGTTATTTCAAAGAACGTGGACTATTTTAAACTACGCGGTTAACCGGTTTCAACCGGTTAATGAGGCTCGGTGGTCGGTCATGAAAATTCATAGTTTTTTACATCCCTAGCGCCGATTCATGTTTTTTTTACTCAATCATGTCTAGAGTAACATTCCAAGCAAAGCATATAGCATCTCTATGGCAACAACCAGTTATCAGGCCTCTTCATAAAAGTTATCTTGGGGGAGTTTAAACATCTCATAAAAATCCCTTATCGTTACTGCCAATGTCAGCAAGAAAAATCCCTTTTAGATATTTTGCCACTATCGTGCAGTCCCAAACACAATCCCAGGATGAAACGTGTCCCTGAGGATCGGGGGATGTTCTGCAAACTTTACTTTTGTTGTCTGGGTCCCAAGAGCTTGAGCCACAGCTTGGCCTTTGCCCTAGTCTAATGCGTCCCTGTTGTGTTCAAATCCACTCCTCTCCCGCTCTCCCTCCACCGTGGCCGCTCCTATTGATCCGGAGCGTCTTGTGTTCTTCATGCCGCCAAATCTACTCAGGCCTGAGGTGCGGACAATGGACGTGATCAGACCTGATATGAACCGTGGGCTGGTGTGTTTGACATTTCCCGCTGACCCAGTCGGCCCTCCCCAAAAGAACTCCTGACCCCTTTATTCTCACCGCACAAATAGGTGATGAGCTCCTGGAGAAATGTAGGGCAGCAGAGTGAAATCCCATGTTTAAAGCTGAGGTCTGCAACTTGTTTTGTCTTTGGGGTTTCCCTCCAAAAATTGTATGTATTTTTTTAGATCAGAATTAAACAGCTGCACATTGTCTTCACTGCAGATCATTGAACGAAGGAAGAATCCTGTGATTAACTATTTGATGCTTTCGGAAGAGAGCTGATTGGTGGAGCAATGGAGATTTCCACTGTTTTTATTCAAAAATCTTGAGTTATGTTGTTTAAGCCCAGTTTTAATCTTATGTGTGTATTAAATAAACAATTATAATCATGGTGAATTACATTTCTGTTTGCAGGTTTTGTTAGTTTGAAAAATCTGCCATGTTCCCTTTTGATGTTCTAAAGTGTTTGCCATAGAGCATTTTTTTTCATCTGTGCCAAAATGTCTGGTTTGCTTCCAAATCACCAGTGTAAAACAAAAAAACATTGAACAAAGTTAGTAAACAACGCTGGCCATGCACCAGTCACATCTGAGCAATGGCTTTTTAATTGCAGGAGTGTAGAAATAACTGTACTCAAACTTCCAAGAATCACTCTTAAGTATTGAGTGTCTAAATGAGAAGAGAAAACCATTATTTAACAGTTAAAAGCTCATATCATTCCCACTTTATAATTGTTATTCCACAGACTGTCGCAGTAGATAAATGCATGTCATTTATCTACTGCGACATAGAAGCCACATAGATATTGAGCAGCAGTTGGAAAAAGTTTTCATCTTCGTGAGAATCTCAACAAAGTCATGTGAATGCTGCTCAGGTCTGTGGGTTCGTGTGTATAGATAAGACAAGACATTATAACGTACAGGGCAATCGTTGTTGTCTTCAGTTCAAATTATACATTATTCATGTACAATACAATAAAAAAGTAAAGTAGAAAGTTAGAAGTTAAACGCATATCGAACAAAATGCTTAAAATTTTGAACTCGCAAAAATGTCTTTGCCTTTTCACCTTGTACTGTTTCAAAGAGGTTAAGTTAAAGAAGTTGAAGTGTAATATTGTAAACACATTTTTTTATTTTTCAGGTATGGACAGGCGGGAGAAGCAGTTCGTATTGAAAAAGCTGTGTACACGGGCAGAGAAGGGAAAAGCTCGAGAGGATGTCCCATCGCTAAATGGGTAAGTGCTTAAAGAAGATGTTAATGGTTTTGTCTGCTAAATACTTGCGACAAAACCTAGACTGTATATAGATTAACAAACCCTTGAGCCCAATGAAGCCCAATTTGGAAGTGCTCATGGACAAACTTTGGATCCAACTCGCTCTGGCTCCTTTTTGACTTACATTGAAAAATAAACTCTTCTTGCTCCGTAACTGTTTGTGTCACATTCACCATTTTGGGATTGAAATATCTATATCTATTGTCTTTGTAAATCCAGATATTTTAGGATTAATATTAACAGATCCTTTATTCGTCCCACAGTGGGGAAATTTCAATGTTGCATCACAATTTACAGACAGTAGAACAGGGAGCACACAGCACAAGATAAATTAATAATAACGCTATACTAAAATAAAATAAAATCTCTAACTCTATCATAATAGGAAGCAGTCCAAAATCTATAACTTGAGCATGATGAAGAAGCAAGACTTAAACGTAAATAGGAGGATTTTCTACTTCCGGGTGGATCATCAAGACTATTGGTCCTCCCAATTTTCAATCATTCTGGTGATACGTGCTCGTCAAATAAGACCAGAGAGTTTTGTTCAGCGGTTCTTTCCTAAAATTTGTGAAAATCCTCCTGTATACAGTGCCTTTAAGTTAAAAAAAACTAACTTTTGCATAATAAGGAGCTACTATAAAGGCTGACCACTCTAATGACCACTCAGAGGCCTTCAGTCAGATTGGCTTAGCAACCATCTGAGAAACAAGTTTGCCCATGTAACGCCGCAAAGTCTGTCAAATAAAATATCCATATAAGGACATTGGCAGTCATAAAAAGGCTTCTCAACACGTTGGAAGGTTCGAAATGAGCCGATTACTACATTAGTTTAGTACGATTGACTTGTTACAGCCCTAGTCTTAAATTATGATTTTAAACATGCACATTTCCTTATATTTCATAGAAGACCTCAAGAACTGAATGAACAAAGTATGCAATAGTGGGCGTGTAATGTGAACATGCATGCATTAAATACCCTTATAGGACACAACTTGCAAAATCTTAAACTTTTAGACCATTATCAAGTGGTCAAGTTAAAAAACTGTTCTCCCCTTGTTTCTCTGACCACTGTGACATGGCCTCTGTTTTTACTTCATATTTATTTAAGCATTGTTAAGGACACATAACTGGTTTTATGTGGCCCATTGGCGTTGTGCAGGCCTTTTAGCATAAAGGACATAAAGGATTTGATCTGCAGTCGGAGTGGAGCCTTTGATTTGACCAAATGTTCTAAATATATATGAATGATTAATTTACCAGTAGTTGGTTCTTCTACATCACACACATGGAAGATAGCGACGTTATTACATTGACATGTTTCGACTGCAACTTTTGATTGTGTAAATGAGAAGGGAAAATATAATAACAAAGTATTGTACTATTATTAATACATAAAAATAATAATGGTTTCTTTGAGCTTTTGAGGGGAAAAAAGTATAACATGTACGAAAACGCGTCTATGTTTCATAATCTGTCAATTTATCTATTTGTGCACATTAGGAAAAACCAAACAAAAAGTTTAATTCACCAAATTTGGCACAAATGTTTAAATGCAGATGTTATTTTGGGGGTATAAATTGTGTACTGTCTGTCAAACTCAGTCAGAGGCGCCGCTGACAGAGGAGGCAGTTAGCTGCAGATTTATGCCATCGCTGTGAAGGTGTCCAATAACGAGGTGCCTCCTGCTCACTTTGACACCCAGTGGGAGGCCGGCTGCTTTACGACCGCCAAACCTAAATCCTGATTATCGTTCGTTAGCAGGAATGACACATATCAGGCCAACGGAATAAACAGTGACACAGTTTGTAGTTTTCTGAGGACAAATCAATGAAGGATCATTACAAAAGTACAATTTAGTACAAATATAGTCAAGGACGACTTTACAGCGTGCTTAAAGTGTTTACCATATTTGGTTTTCATAGACTGGATGTTAAATAAATATGCAATATGTCTAAAACCTTTAAAGCAAACCTATACCCACTACACTGCCCAACATTTAAATCAATGAGTGGAGAGTAACTCATTACAACCACTCACATTACTGCTTTCGTTTACATATAATTATGTACAGACCAAATTATAACGTAAATCTTTGAGGCCATTTTTTTTTCCTGTTTTGCTAAAATAATTTGTTACTGAACTACAAATTATAGATAGAGACAATATATTGAGTTGTGAAACAGCCTCATCTAGTGGTAGAAGGGATAAATTACACTATTTTAGGCATGTGCATTTTGATGAGGGATCAATATAGTTTACACATGTATCCTTTTAAGAGTTATAATTATCAAGGGGGAAGCGTTTGAAAAGGTGATTGCACCTCTTCATATTGGAGTAAACTGATCCATGTTGCACCCGCAGATAGAACTAAACTACTATAATTACACCCTCTCATTTACTATGTAGTTTAGCACCTAAATTGATTAATATGGCGTTAAATATGTGTGTTTGGGTGTGTTTTGGAAGGTGATTCGCCGAGGCAGTGAGAAGGAGAAGCTGCTGTGTTTGGTTCGGCAGCGCCCTGGGCATCACTGTGACAACGCGGTCATCATCATCCTCATCATGGCCTGGGAGGGAGTGCCCAGCGCCATGGCCGACAAACTGTACCGCGAAGTCTCCGACACTCTCACCCAGTACGGAAACCCCACCAGCAGACGCTGTGGCCTCAACGACGAGTACGTATAACATGCGCTCACGTCCAGGAAACGAGAATACTTAATATACTTAATAAATTTTTTTCTATTCAGTTTCAGAATGTTCAATAACTGCATTAAAATGTATTCTGTAACGTATGCTCCAATTAGAGAAAACCCTTATTTTTTATACATAAATTATGAACTTGGTTTGTCCCATAAGATTTGTTTGATTTGTCCACAATCTTTTTAAGAACAAACCACATCATGTTGTCTTTGTCTTACCAGAAAACGTTTAGAATTTAGCATAATTTTAAGAGCCCTGTGAGTCACTATTCAACGCTTTGGGCTGAGTGAGGGTGGTCTTCCCTTTCACTTTCCTGTATGGAGAAAAGTTGATCTAAAGGTGTGGTAGAGGCCTTTAAGTATGTAATATGCAAACAAGTGATAGATCTATGAGTGCAACGGATCCAAAAACTCACGGTTTGAATCGTTTCGCAGATCAAGAGTCTCGGATCAGATAATTTTTCGGATCAGCAAAAAGATAAAGGTCTTTGCTTTCAAATTAGTAAATTAAAATGTATAAAATCAACTTGTCATGTTTTATACATTACAAATTAAACTCTGGGTTGATAAAGGGCAAGGAAAAACCCTTAAAACCTACAAAACACCAACATTGGCTTTGAAAATTGTGCGCTGTTACTTTAAGAGGATGACAACAAAGTGAACAAACGCTTCCTTAGTTCCTATTAGCATTAGCTTTCATTATTGTTCTTACTGGTGTCGGAGCTGCTTAAATGCTGCAGTGATAAGCGGTTGTTGTGCAGCCTTTGTTAGTTGTGTGGACTGAACGTGCACACTTTTTTTCCCTTCTTTAATCAATCTGGGGATCAAGTGTGTGCCAAACCGAAGATATTAATCCGAACGGATCAATGATGATCTGTTGCACCACAAGATAGAACCAAACTGTTCTAAAGCTAGAGTAGTAGTTAGATGGATGTCACCACATAGTTCTATATTTTGTGGTTTAAAAGTTAAGTACCCCAGCTTTAATGTGTCTATTTTTATGAAACATACGTCACAAGATTTGTTTTTGTCAATGTAAATTTGCAAACCTCACACTCATATCCTCTAAAAGTTCTCAATTCATGTTCTTTTGTCTCCCCCTACAGTCGCACTTGTGCATGTCAGGGTAAAGACCCAGACAAATGTGGAGCGTCCTTCTCTTTCGGCTGCTCCTGGAGTATGTACTTTAACGGCTGTAAGTACGCTCGCAGTAAAATCCCTCGCAAGTTCAGGCTTCAAGGAGAACACCCTGAACACGTAAGATTATAATAAAAGTACATTGGAATACATGTATCATTTTTAGGCCTTTAATTGATTGTGTGTGTTGTTTTTACTTCATCATTTTAGGAAGATATACTCAGGGATAATTTCCAGAATTTGGCGACTGAAGTGGCTCCATTGTACAAGCGGTTGGCACCACAAGCTTACAGTAACCAGGTGAGTGTTACAGTATTTGTCGATTTGCAATTATAATAAGTTTTCTTTTATAACTGTTTGTCTGTTGTGTTTGTGATGTGTTTGTTTGTTTTTTATGGACTTCGAGTCTGATAAATAAAGATAATAATAATAATAATAATAATAATATGAAAATCATATTGACAACAAGTTTACCCCTGGATGTAGTATGATGTGGGTATACATTAGATAGAGTCTGACCTAAAATGTCCTTTCAGTGTCTGACCGAGTCTACAGCTCCGGACTGCAGACTGGGGCTGAAAGAAGGCCGGCCGTTCTCTGGAATCACTGCCTGTATGGACTTCTGTGCTCATGCCCACAAGGACCAGCACAACCTCTACAACGGCTGCACTGTGGTAGGTGCACAATTGCATCATCAAGAATATTGTATTAGAATATGTAATATAATATATTTATATTATATTATTAAAACTATATATATTAATTTTGAAATATTTGAAATATTTAACAAACATTAGTCTCTTCTCTTCAGGTGTGTACATTGACAAAGGAGGACAACAGAAAGGTGGGGGTGATTCCTGAGGATGAGCAGCTGCATGTTTTACCTCTGTACAAGATTTCTCCCACCGATGAGTTTGGCAGTGAAGAGGGACAGCGTGCAAAGATGAAAACTGGAGCTCTTCAGATTCTTCAGGCTTTTCGTCGTGAGGTGCGGAAACTTCCTGAACCAGCCAAGTCATGCCGACAGCGCCGCCTCGACGCCAAGAAAGCAGCATCGGAGAAGAAGAAGAACAAACTCATGGCGCAGACAGGGGAAACCCCAGAGAAGGTTGTGATCAAGACTGAGCTCAGGGTCACCAGCTCCCCACAACTGCAGGGAAATAAAGGTGAGGCTACAGATCTTTAAATAGCCATGCCACTCATGTCAAAACTTGTTGTAAAATGTTTATTTTGTAATCAACAGCTGTCATCAAGCAAGAGGTAAAGCCCATTATCAAGAAGGAGCCTTTTAACGGCTCCTTGGATGGCTACCCTGTGCAGTCTGCAGAAGCGTTAAACATCTACCCACAAGCAGCATACTATGCAAGGGGAGGCCTCCCTCCAACAGGCCAGCCCTCTTCCCCCAGCCCTGTTAACGGATACCACCCCAATCTGCACTACGGCTACTACAACTGTCCACCCAACGCACTTTTCCGTCCAAAGATCAGGACCTATGAGCGGAAGGCTGCTCATGTAGACACCAAGCCTGATGTCCAGAGCCTCCAGGCCTGCCTGAGCCAACCCGAGCAGAATGTCTCAAACAATAGCGCTTACACCACAAACCTGGAGTATCAGTCCCGGCCCTCATCAGTGTCCTCTGAGCATACAGCCACTCCAGTGATCAAACAGGAACCTATGGACCTCCCAGTCCATGAAGCAGCAATGCAGAGCCCAGCGGGTGGGAACACCCCAAGCACGACTCCTCAGCCTGGGCCGTGGCCCGGACACAAGTTCAATGGAAATATTGTTCCCCCAAATCTAAACTCTAACCCAAGTGCAGGAGCCTCAATGTTGAGCCAAGAACACAAGCAGTTTCACCAGCATCCTCAGCAGCGGGCTTCACCCTTCCCCCAGCAGTGGTACCCAGGTTCCAACACCCCCATGGGCTCCCCCTCTCCTTTGCACGCTCCTCCTTCTCCTGTGCCCTCGCCTCACCTCATGAACCCCCACAACATGCACTCAGCCTCCCCCCGACCCACTACCCCACGCCCCAGCACTCCTCACCCCGGAACACCTCAGCCTGCAATTGCGAACTCAGGCCAAGTCCCATCACAGCCGGGCACTCCCAGGCCGTGGTCCAGACTGTCCCCCAGTCCACAGGCCAACCCGTGGGCCATGGCTCCAGGAGGCTACAGTCCTGTCATTAAGCACAACAATTCTAGAGGCGCCTTTCCTGACAAGATGTGGTCAGAGAGTGGGGAGAGGTGTTCCACCCCTGTGGACCCACAGGAGAAGGCCTGGAAGTCCTATGGGGGATCTGCAGCCAGTACCACCCCCTCTCCCGCTCCGGAGGGCCGCTTGTTCCCTGATGCGCTACAGCAGACAGAGCAGGCGTGTTGGGACCGCAACCAAGAAAGTGACGTGGAGAGCTGCAAAGGGCGCGAGGACGACGATGACGAGGTGTGGTCCGACAGCGAGCACAATTTCCTGGATCCAAGCATCGGAGGAGTGGCTGTGGCACCAGCTCATGGCTCCATCCTCATTGAATGTGCTCGACGAGAGCTGCACGCCACAACGCCGCTAAAAAGGCCTGACCGCACCCACCCAACACGCATCTCCCTGGTCTTCTACCAGCACAAGAACCTCAACCAGCCCAACCACGGCCTGCATGTGTGGGAGGCAAAGATGAAGCTGCTGGCAGAGCGCACGCTGCAGCGGCAGCAGGAGGCTGCACTGCTGGGACTCTCCCAGGAAGACATCAAAGCTCTCGGGAAGAAGCGTAAGTGGGGAGCCTCGGCAGCAGGGGCCAGTCCGGGGCCCGGACAGACTAAGGACAAGAGAGAGGGTCCCGTGACGCGCTTAGCTCCCACATTCCACACCACATCTATGGTGCAGGTGTCTCCGTACGCCTTCACGCAGCTTACAGGGCCCTACAGCCGCTTCGTTTAGAGACACCCTCATGGTCCACTTTACGAAGGGATCTTTTATTGTTTTACCTCATGTAAGGCAGAAACGTCTGCCTTTGGTGCTCCTCCTCTCTCTTCCCTCTGAGAGGAACTCCATTGCTTTTTCTTGTTTATAGAATTTTAATGATCCTAATTATTGCTATTATTATCGATATTATGATTGCTCTTGTTACTGTCATTGTTGTTATTATAATGAAGACCTGTTTGTTTTATTATTGCTGTTTTCATTAATGTTAATGATGTGGTTTCTTTAGTTTATATATATATTTTTTTATCAATCAGTCTGACCAATCAATCTCAGACAACTGTTCTTTCCTTGTTTGGAAAATATGTGCGCTCTTTTAGGGTTACTTTTTTATTTTTTTGACGTCAAATTTGTGGCTGGACTTTGAGGAGGAACATTCATCTGTCTGCCAGGACAGCTGTCTCACATAATTACCACATTATTAACGTATGTTATTGTGAAGAATTTGATCAGTTTGAATCATGTCTTTTTAATGTCAATATTTTAAAACAGATCACATTTTAGCTACCAGCAACATCAAGTTTATAGAGGATTTTAATCATGACAGTGGTTTTTAACTTTTACAATGATTCTGATCCGTAGTGTTTGTTTTGGTCAAAGGTGAAGTGTTCCTCCTTCCCACAGCCTTCGACGGTGCTCCGCTTTTCTCATTCCACTGTTCTTCTCGGCCCTCGATGCTGTACTTTGGTGCTCAACACAGGTTTCATTGGAGTGATTTTAATGTCTTTTCAAAGTAGAAGTAATACCAGAAAGAGGGGATTCAAAATGCATTGCAAACAACATCCTCTTGGTATTTCCTCTTGTGAAAAGACTCTAATGCTCTAAATGGCTCACGAGCTGCTTCTATTACTCACAGTATTTCTTCCTTTACAACTCCTGGTGAGCACTTGCTAGTCTGAACTTTGAAAGCCTTTTCAAAGTGTGACGAGCAGACTCCACTCCCTGCTTCCACCATAAACCGCCCAAGCGCTGTCAAACACTGCTGCATTGACACGTGTTGACCAGCAGAGGGGGCGCTTAAACACACTAGTTTCTATGGGGACAGTGGAATTCCAGTGTTGCTGCTACACACACTATGGTGCTCTCCCGGCGTCTCTGCGTGGTGCTGTCATCGAAACGCAGAGTCAGCCAATCAGAAAAGCCGATCTATAGATGCTGTAGGATGTGTAACAAACACAGCAAGTGCATTCAATTCTCGTTACATTAAAGGTGCTTTGAGCAACTCTTCAGGTGGGGTCTCTTATCTACTTGTAGCTGTTTCTTTGCCTGGACGGTTTTTCTTATAAAACATTATAGTTGATCTTACTGCTCCAAAACCTACTTTTGATTTCATACATCTCCCAAGCTATTCTGTTGGACTCTCGAGGCAAAACTACTAAACAACATTGATAATGCAACTGTCGCATTATCAATTTGTTGATAGAATCTCATTAGTCAACATTGATTGAAAACAACCAGACCTGTTCTTGTTATTTGTGTTTTTTTAGCTTAAAGCGACAACAGAATGCACTTGCCGCATGTTTGTCTATAGGTCTGTTTTTATGCTTCTACTCAGAACTTGTGAGCTCTATGTGAGGATAGCTGTGAACTTTGTATTGAGATTAAGGAGAATTTACTGTATTTTATAGAAGTCGGCGCCAAAAGGCAGTGAATCACAAAACTCTTCTTGTGTATTTTCGTGTGTGTTTGTGTGTGTGAATGTGTGAAAAACAATAGCCAAAGAGATGTGTAATCTAGTTTAGAGTCACAGCCTTTAGAAAATTCACCTGGAGACATACAGCAAAATGCAAAAGATCATGTTCAAATGTCCGAAAACAGCAAGTACATAGATTTCTCCACCTGTTATACAACAGTAGTTTTACCCGACTTGTAGCCAGTGCTTCTCAAACTAGGATTTTCAAACAGACAAATACATTGATTATTTAGATACTAGCCTTTCTACGAACAGGACATGTATTTTGAGTCAAAGCAGAGATGAGACATTGTTGCAAGTTCACTCTTCAACTTCATGGTGAAAGGACCAGTATTTTCAATTGAATTAAATTAAATTTTAATCTACAAAATTATACTAATTTACTGTAGTTCTAACCAGTTGCATAGGCCTGCTATAGGAGTCCTTATATTTGCAGTATTTTGGGATTCATTCATTGACGCAAATCTAAACTTATTTCATCTTTTGCACGTTGCAGTAGAACTTCTCCACAGTGGAAATGCTGCCGTAGACTCGTTGCTGTTGTGGTTGTTTGGATCTTGTGGTGTTTCTACCTCACGCTGTAGAGATCACCAATGCTACTGAGGGAATGTTCTGTGTGTTCTGTGTCCTCCCGAACTCCACGCTCATTTTAAGCCTTTTTTGTTTTCAACTCTTTATTTTATACAACATGGTGATGAAAATGATTGTCTTGTTATGTTGTTATTTTCCATTTTTATACAGCAAATACAAATTGTACATAGAAAAGATTTATAAAATCACTTTTAATCTTGAGTTTAATGAAAAATGAAAGAGCCAATATTTGACAACTTGAAGCCTAGTTTTTGTTTTTGTTGTTTCTGTTATAATGTTCCTGGTGAGAGAGATACAAATGTAAATACTCAAATATTTAGGTAAGATTATTTAACTGGTGATGATAGTAACTAAACCATGAATGACTAGGGGGTATTGGCAGCCGTGACCACACTTGGTACTTGATCATTCACTGATGTTCTGTTTTATATCGCACCCTGTCAGCATGACTTTCACCCCTCACTGTCCCAAAACTAACTTTGTCCCAAAACTAACTTTGTCCCACTCGTCTTCAACTAAAGCTCATCTATTATACTTCCAACTTGATGATGGTGCTTTTGGACCATTGATTAAACATGTCATTACAAAACAAACACAGAATCACTTCACATTGACATAATATTGGGCACAATATTCATTTCTTGTTTTGGTAGAAGTCGGTCTCCTACAGTTACAGTCAGTCAATCTGACTATAATGACCAGTGATTATTAAAGCTGGAGTACCTGTGGTTTGAAAGTTAGGTACCCCAGCTTTAAATGAACCAATACCATGTGATACTGTCCCACATAGCAGCAAGTTTGTGTTAGAAATGAGAAAATACTACTTAAAATCATCGACCAGCATAATAGATCCCCTCCACTCATTATGAATTTGTAAACACATTTTCTGCTATTAATTGTAAACTTGTTCTAGACTTTTCTGCGGCACATTCAGACAACGTGAATCTTGTTTTAATGTGTCTATAGCAGATTCATAATCACCCATCAAATTCTGTTTTTACCTACAATGCATCAGTTTACATGACAAACACAGTCATGGGTGCTAACATTACTGAGGAGGACATCTCTTTGTCACACGCTCTTATGTAAAGGGCTCTGGTGCTACATGACGCTACTTTTCAAAACCCACTGTGTATATTTGAAAAAGTAAAGGATTAAAACGTTCCACAAATATCTTTCTGAGCACTGAGAATGTCAAAATGATACTTTTTGTCCTGCTGTCTATATACGAGGCAAGGCCATGGTGCTACATTTGTAAAGCTATTTCTTACACAACGCTGCAAATCATCTTGTGTTTGCATATAGGGGATATCAATAGAAACTGTACTTGAAGACATTTTAACTAGGAAATGACATATATAAAGACTGTTAAGTTGTGGAAGGCTCTAGAACCCTCCTTGTTCTGTTGTAATTGTCCAACTCTCCAACATCACATCAATGGTAAACTGCCTCCCCTATCGTTTCCATAGATATGCACTTGTACATTTGCCTTTTTCACTCACGTACGCTGATCATTTTTGCATCTTAGAAATCTTGAAACTCTAAATCTGACTTGAGACCCATAAAAAGTGGTGAACGTAAACAACAGGCAGCTACATTTGTTTTTGAGTTTTAGGATTTGTTTTTCATGTCAAGGATGCAGTATGTAAAAAAAAAGTGCTTCTGTTCAGTCTCTCTCTTTGTAGCTGTATGGTGTAACATGTGAATACATAGTGTATGTGGTGAAAAGCCCACAATATTGTTTTATGTTGCCAGATAAATAAAAATGTTGAAGTGAAAACACCTCTTGTGACTCTGGTTTTGTCTTGTAAGTGCAGTTACACTGACTGTCCAGAAGGGGGAACTATTCACCCAGGCGTCCTCCTTTATTCCCCTTTTCATGTATACATGTATTCTTATAAGTTAAAATCATCTGTGTGTGTTTAGTAATAGCTGAATTTATCTAAAACAAATGAAGTTTGTGCACTGCAGAGAGTCGGACTTAATATGCAATTTTTGAATCTCAACACGAGACTCGACTTGGACTTAAGACTTAATGTTTTGGTTTTATATAGTCATTGTTTGAACATTCAAAGACTATTCACATGTCATTATACATCTGCTCCATACACAGTGGTGATAAACTACTACTGTAGCCAGAGCTGCCCTGGGGCACACTGACAGAAGTGAGGCAATCATTACGTGGCATCAGCCCCTCCTTCCACCACCAACAATTCACACACAATAGACTGACTCAAGGCCATGCAGGTGAGGGGACACAACAACAGTTTGGCACTTTACAGCCATAGCCACCTTCCTGTGGAACCTGTTGTTCCCATCACAGTACTAACCAGACCTAATAACCTGTAAGACCTTAGCTTCATAGGTCTGACAGGATCTGGTTTGCACACGCAGGTATTGCCACAACTTGGACTTATGGTTTTGAGATGCAGAAGTCTATATTGTGTTAGGATTAGATAGCGATTTGGCCTATACAAGGACTCTGATTATTTTGACTATGATGTGCACTGTCTCTGTGTGACACGTGTGACGTAACAATGACTATATAAACTGTGTACTGCCTTTTTCTGTCTGAGAGAAAGAAACAATTGAAACCACTGGAACTTGAGAGAAACCTAAATAAACTTCCAGAATGGTATTGTTTCTCCAAAAACAATCTGACGTCTCTCGCCCT